TATCATGGTACATCACTAGACAAAATAGATATTTATTCATATGAAACTGTTGCAGGTTATTAGTCCAGCCATCCAACTGTGGTTGCCTTTTGTGCCTTTTGCAATAAGAACCACTTGTATCCTGAAGGAGGATGACATGAGATGAGTCGGATGTTCAGCTTTAGACCTGAGGAAGACTTGAGAGAAAAAATGGCAAGAAAGAGAAAGAGAGAGAATGTCAATCATCTCAGATAACATGTGACAAGATAGGCTGTGAAAGCGCTTCTGTCAATCACATTTTCCTACAGCAGCTCTGTTGCTCACAGATCTTGTGTTTTCTGTCCTTAAGAACACAAAACACACGCAACATTGGGTTACCAAACATAAAAATATGACATTAAACAGGTACAGATACAACATAACAATAAATTAATTTAAATTAACTGGAGCTAAAAAATAATTACATACCCCACACATGGACCTTCAAGGTAAGGGAAATGTCTCTTTGACGGGCGTGCTAACAACTCATGTAGATCATGAACGAGGCCACAACCAGACACTGTTATTTTTACAAGAGGTCAAAAAGTTGGGAACCAGTGATCAAATCTTTATCTGTGAAGTGAGTAGTAACTATATCTCTCATATAAATGTAGTGGAGTAGTGGAGACAGTCAAACAAATTTGTCAAGATATTCCATATACCTCGTACTCTGGGTGAAAATTTTCTCTTGTACCATGCTCCATCTTGACATCTGATAAATATGTGTCTTGTTTGTCTTTTTTATTGAGGGAGGGTTTTTGGTTTACTGGTATAGTTTACATCATGTTCTTTTTGATTATTAGTGCAACTTCTTCAATGTTTTGTCTTGTCCTGATGTTTATATAACTCCTGTGTTTCCATTGATGTGTCAGCCAGGTGTGTAGTGTTGGACTATGACAGGGTGCATGGTTAGTGGGGACAAGCTGTGATGGACACTCTTTCCTGGCTGGAAGGGAAACATCTACGCAGCCGTCTCTGTCACGTGGCAAGGAGGCCATAGCCTTGCCGAAGTCCATGATGCCCAGGAATGCTAACATCTTCAGTCAGCTTGTCACATAAATCCCACATCCTGTCCAGCCTCCGGAAGTTTGACGGCTCCAGCATTCGGCCCTGACTTCTCAGACGTCAACGGCCTACTTCGGGAGCTCACCTTACCTTCACCTTCAGCCTTGATTCCCGCAGAGACGCTTTGATTGAGCCAGAGTTAATTGAATTCAGTGAGCAAAGATCTGCCATTGGGGAAGAGGGAGGAGAGGAAGCGACGTTAGCGCTCCAGCAGGGATGAAGATGATGAGTTTGCCTTTGGGGTGAGGGCTTGATTCAGTAGAGCATATGAACCATTTTCAGTGGGTTTCATCAGAGCGGGCCTCATGTTGTTTGGGTTGGGCAGGGGCCACGTGAGGTCGGACAGAGACATTTACCAATACACAGGACCTTACGTAACTACTCCTTGTGCTGTATTGGCAAGTGGCTGTGGAGAAACCTGGCTCGAATGTTAGAGGAGAGTGTAGTTCAGGGTTACCATGTTTTGGTATTCTGTAGCCAAGATTTTAAAGGGTCAGTTTACCCAAATTACAGAAAAACACGCTGAAACAATCTTCAAAAGCAACATCTCGTTTAAAGCATACGAAGCCACAAATACACGCATTTGCTATTTTGCCCAGAAATTAATCAGTATTTCTCCACTGGAATACTACATGGCCACAGGTTTTCAATCACATTAAGAGTTTCAGTTAAATAGGTGTATTAAAACAATCAAATAAGATCTCTTCCTCTACAAGACAGGGCCTCAAGATCATGCATAACTGCAGAAGGCCCCTATTTTGTTATGCTTTAGTGGTGCGTATTTCCAAACAAATTTGCACAAAGTCATTGTTGCATTGACAACCACAGGGCATTCAGACAATTATTCGCTTTGCCCAGTTGGTAATCCAGGCTTGCACAAAACTACTTTCTGTTGAAAAATAGTCCTTACAAAAACTATTGACCTTGAGGTCTGTGGATTATCTAGAGTAACAGTTTCAGGAACGATGCGTTACTGTGATATTTGAACAAATATTCATTGTTATGGTGTGGCGGCAGAAATCTAAAGTCAAATCTCAGTGCAAACAAAAGAATAACTCCTGCTATGGTCTCCGCATGGCTAAATATCAGTGGAGGCAGCAATGTTGTTGTTGTAATTCTGATGAAATGACCCTTTAATAAAGGAACACATCTGATATCACCAGTAAGCAATTTATTGTTCATGATATGAATAAAAATGTTTTCCTAGTGTTGTCAGGTCTATTCACGGCCCTCTGGTTGTTTATCATGGTGCTAATTGGAGACATGAGGCCTGCTCTACTGCTCTGTTCCTTGGACGTCTGGTGTTTTGACGCATCTAACAAATGTCCTTTTTGGCAAGGCAAAGACTTTTTGTGACCATCAGTGTGAGGTGAATAAGAAGCCCATACATTTGTCAGCCGGTCTATAACCTGTGCCTGTAGTCTGTTGTTTATCTGTACAGTCGTCCCAGAACCTGAGCAGACAGAGGAACAGAGGAAGTGACAGGATGAGGGCGATTAGCCCCACCTCCACCCACCCCACTGCACGTGCACACAGACACCACACTGACTCATACTCCCTCCTCACATGGTGAACAACACTCCTCTCACTAAATCACTGTGTGTGTGTGTGTTTATATTTCGTGTTTACAGATATGAGGCCTCTAAGGATAACTGGGATTCAGAGGCAGTGATGTGTGAGGGCCGAGATCAGATGAGGTCATCAGGGATGGCGAGCTTAGAGGAGTTTGTCCCGAGCCGCTGCTCTGTGAGGAAGTCAGCTGTGTGTTTTTGAGAAAGGTACTAACAAGAGAGGGAGGGAGAGTAGGGGAGAGGATGCTCTTAGTTCCAGCATATGTCAGGATGTTGACATCTTGTTGACAGAAAAACACAAAATAGATGTTTTAGATCACATCATCAGATAAATCTGGTAGTTTGAGAGGGTGGAGATGGCTGATTAATCTGCTCCCCCCTGTAAAGTCTTGCCTGTCACTGGCAGAGTACAAAAGTGTACATAGTGTAAAACCCACAATTTGCATGCTGCTGTGAAGAAGCTCATAAAGCAAAACAGTACAAACAAATGTCAGACACCTATTTATAGCACTGACACTAAGAGCACATGTAATTGGCCGAGAATTGCCGTCTGTCCCGACTCCACGAGGCCATATGTTTGCGGCGGTTCAGCTGTTATCAGATTGGTTGTGTCTGCTGGGACCATGTAAACATCAGTGCTCATAACCTTCCAGTGAATGGACAGACAGAGAGGCTGCACGCAAGGCAAATAAACATACACACATCAGTGAGGATATCTTGGTGAGAGCTGGGTCAGTGTGGCAGACAGTTAGGGCTGCAGAGGCTGCAGGCACCACGATTTTGCCATAAGGGTCTCAAAAATCCAGAAAATTGCTCTTGTTCCTGAGGCAGACAATGTCTTTTTTGCCCTGTTTTCTCCTGTTTACATTGAATCCTAGAATTCATCCATTTTGGGGGAAAAGACAGGCCAGAATGCAGGTTTTCTGAGGTCAGATTGTGGGAGTTGGTGCTCGTAATGTAAACACACCAAGACTGTGTTTATTTGAATGTAAAAACAGGCGAGATCTGCTGTGACTCATCTTGCATGTGACTCTGCGCTGGGAAATATGATCATTTCAGTAACAGCAAAGCCTGCATATATGTGTGCGAGTATATACGTGTGCATGTGTGTTTGCAGGAGAAACAGGAGTGAGGAGCGCGGTATAGACTTGGGTCATAACTTCCCAGTGTGCTGGTGGGGGAGGGTAGTTATGTAACAAGGACAAAAGGATGCATGTTGCTGGCATGGCTGCACATGTGGGGAGATGGGGAAATTTGTGTGTGTGTGTATGTGTGCGCGTGTGAGAGAGAGAGAGATTTTTATTTTTTTAACACACACACACACACACACACACACACACACACACACACACACACACACACACACAATTACTGTTTTATTTATTTATTTTATTTTAATACATTTAAATTTTTTTTAATAAAACACACACACGCTTACTTGTTTAATGAAATGTATGGGGTTGATCGTTCTAGTTAGTATGATTCTTTGGCAATATTGTTGTTACACATTCATGCCAATAAAGCTAATTTGAATTTAATTTAATTGAGAGAGAGAAACAAATCTGTAACTCTCTAACACGCAAGAAACAGATGGAGTATGAGGCTTCAGGCATGACCTCAGGGTCACCAAGATGACAAGATGTATAGAGACTATATGGCATGCTACATCATTGTTGTGAAGGTTCAGGACTCCATTTGATCAGTTTAGTCTAATAGTTATAAATAATATAATTATATAGATAATAATAATTGAAAAGTACAAAAATGTATTCTGATTCAAACGCTGCTACAAAGTTGAGTCACATCATGACAGATTGTAATTTGCAGCATGTTCCAGCCAAAAATGAGTTCTGGAAAGTTGTCCGAGCATCTCAATACAGGTGTAATCAGATCAAATCATCTGCGCCCAAACTGCAGAATCAGTTAAGCAAGCCTATCTAACTTTTGCTGAACAGAAGCCACGCTGGCCGCCAGTGACAAGTACAATGCTTAAATGTAGTGTACAAGTTGCACAAGTGAGAAGAGTCAGAAAGTCAGAAGACTGACTCAGTAATGTCAGTTACACAGCAATACCTAACTAAAGTTTTGCTAACCGTAGCTAACTTTTGGTCTCACCAAACCAAGTAAGGCTGCAGCAGCAGCACCCCTGAGTCTTTTGAAGTGATCTGAGGGGCATTTTTTTTGCCAAGGACTTTCATTTGTTAGAGGACTACTGCGTTATTTCATCTTTCAAAAATTACAAGTCTTGCTTTAAAGACTTCTACATAAGGGGACTTGACTGAGAGCAAGTGGAAAGGACCCGTAAGAACAACAAACATGTCTTCTGGTGAGGTATGATGTGTTTACTTTTTGGGTATCACTTCAACATACAGCCCGTGACATACTACATAATTCCGTTGTATGAATCAGGTTCAAGTTAAATACTGTAAGTACACTGAAAGAAAACAATACAATGGGGAACAAAGGAGTAACAATTTTTGAATCTGGTTCAAGTTGTCCTCTGTAACAGCTGTATGTCTTATGGACACCTGTTAGTACGTTGCTGTATTCCTTAAATGATTTTCCCAAAGCCCCTATCATTACCTTATTGTACCCCAGAGTTCCGGTAGCATATCGTAATCATATTTTACATTTATAGCTGCTGCAAAATGGCAATTTGTTTTCCACTATTGTTAGGACCTTTTTCCAAAAAACACCACATACACAAGCATGGGATTATATCTACAGTATATTATTAAGCCACAGATGTCACAATGCAATTTGTTGTAAAATGGCTTTTGGAATTAAAAACCTTCATCATTCTCCCCTCTCCACTGACCCTTACACCCATCTCTAGCCATTTTTCTGCACCCTTGTCTCACTGCTCTTACTTCCCAGCTTGCTCTATCTCATCCTCCTCTCCTTCATTCATCCTCACACTGCTGATTGTTTGCATCTACTCATGAAAGAGAATTTTCCGGGTTTCTCATTCCATTTAAGCTCAGCTAGCACTAACCCATTGTGCTCTGATGTTCCTCTCAGGCAAGAGGTCTAAATCAGGCAAGGAAGACGGGGGAGGGATGGAAGGATGGAGGATCGTAGGGATTTGAGGGAAGGAAGGAAGGAGGGTGGGGGTGGGGAAGGAGGATAAGAAGGAAGGGTTAGAAAATGGAAAAGGCAGAGAGTAAAGCAAATGTGTGAGAGCAGTGTAAAAGAAGCATGCGAGGAAAGAAAAGCTAAATAAGCAGAGATATGACAGCGCAGGCTCAGCAGCCATATGCTCTTAATGTGGACTCAGATCTGACCCATGACCTTTCCTGCATCTTCGTCTCTCTCTCTCTCTCCTGACAATAAAAATGTCTCATAAAATGACAATTTTCCTCAACAAGTCCTACAACCTGAACAACAAAATAGGTCGTTTGTCAAACCTCACGTTAAATGACATTAAACATGTGGTTAACGATGTGAGACAGTCATAGTTTGGTTAGGTTTAGGCAACAAAACTACTTGGTTAGTAGAGTTTGCCGATCACCGATTGGCAATCTGATCGCCAGGGGGCGGTGTTACGTTGCAGCAAGTCAGTGAAATGACAGCATGGAAGAAACAGCTTTAGCTTTAAGAGAAACCGCCAGAAACACCTGTAAATACACAATACAGTGTTTCCCACAGAATTACTGTGTAATTGGCAGCAGGGAGGGGGGTGCATTCGATAGCAGCTATGTACAGCACGCTAACCTCGACAACCCAGCTGTATTCTAATGTTAACATATGTGGCGTTCAGCGTTGATATTGTGGCTCGTTGTGTCGCCACAAATAAATCAATGAATGGGAAACACTGCAGTGTGGTGCAGATTCTGCGACTGTTTTCATGTCATCTTGGTTCTGACATTGAGTTAGTTAAAATCGCCTGAATATCAGCGATTACGAAAACATGGTGGTTTGGGCTAAAATAGGTGGGCCTACATTGCGTAAGTGATGTTATGTAGATCATGTGACAGAAGTCAGTAATGCTATTTAACTTAAAACTCAAAATAACTCACTATTTACTTGATTTCACGTGGGACTCAAACACCGTTCTCCTGTGTGAAAGTCCGTCCTCCTCTTACTGTGCTTTCAGACCAACAGCGTTCGGGGCGGTGAGTTTACATACAAAGTCAATGCAAAGACGTGTAGAGCCGCGATTTCTTGTTGGGCCACGCGAAGCGACGCAAAGGGGGCGGTGCAGGCGACGCAAAGCCAACACGAAGGCCTTCGCGTGAGTTGAAAATTTCCAACTCGAGTAAATTTTCGCCTTCTTGCCTTGTGTGTGAACACTTGCTGCGAATGTACTCACGCGAGGAAAAGCGTCGCGAGGATTAAATTCGCGTTTGGTCTGAAAGCACCATTACGCAGATGTTCTCACTATTAATATTATTATTATTATTAGTACGGCCAGTAGAGGGCACTGCCACAATAAACGTAAACATGGGTAGTAATGAGGTACTGAACAAATGACCTATTTACTGGGGAGGAGGACAGGCTGATTTTCCTTAACATACTATATCTCTATCATTCTTGTAATTGTAATCTTGTAATATCGCTATCATTTTTGTTTTCACTCCCTGCTACTATCTGCTTGTAATTCTTCTGTTGGTTAAGAGTGGTAGCTTGGGGTCATTTTAACCACTTAATTAAATGTGGACAAAAATCACCTCCTTTCTATCATTTGACGTCCAGCACACAGATGATATCACCGACAGTCTCACTGTGCAGCGATTTAGCCCACTTTGCAGCCCAGCGGGTACAGCGTGGCTATAAAGCTGCAGTGCTTATAAGGTTTAAACCCACCAGAGCTACTTACACTAATACACTTCTGTGCATTTGAATGCACAGAAGTGGAGCATGCTAATATTAATACTAGTCTGTGCATACATGGAGATAGAGTAGCTGCATTTGATGTAGGCTGGTTTCTTTAAAGTGGTTTTAACAGGTTGGCAGCAGTTTTACAGAACATAAAGAACACGGTATATGGATTAAACAACACTTGGTTGAAAACAGACATAGAGACAGAGTCAGAGACAGATGTGTGAGTATATCAGAGCATTATAACAGTGCTGCAGTTTGCAGGAAGTGTAAGTACAGGATTGCGAGTAAGTAAAAAATCAAATGAATGAAAGGCTGACAGGGTGGAACACATTATACGAAGTTTGAATCCAATCTGGATTTAAAGGTGCACAGACAAAGTTTTGTGGTAAAATATATATCACAAAGTCACCAAGTTTGAGGCATAAGGATGTTGAAAATATCATGCTGTGACATTAAGAATTCTATTAAAATGGAACTATGGGTGGTCTTGCACAAACCATTAAACAGCTCCACACCTAAACTACTGAAAGTAATGTGGACATGTGCACAATTGTTGTGGCTTGGTTGGATGGTTAGGAGCCTCCCTTTCTGCTTACTCCATGGCAACCCTGGCATTTGTGTAGGTTCTTGATCTATAGCTTCTGTCTCAGGAGTCTGGTCTTTCCACTTTCTGGGTTGCATGCATGTTTGATACTGTTTTTAATTCTCCATCTTCTCTCGATGAGGCTTTGTCAGCAGCTGGTGTTGTACTCTCTAAAGGGCTCTGCTGTCTCATTGAGGCAGCTATCAGGAACAACACTGTATCATCCTTGTATTCAGCATCATGGAAAAGGCGGTCATTTGGTTTTGGGTGTTTCTGCTTCTAATAACACAGTTTAGTGAGTGCGAAAAGGACACAATGTAGTCTGAAGTCTTTTTTTCTGTTCACACTCAATTTCACATCTTATTCCACCCAATTCTCTGAACATTTGTTTCACATTTCTCACTTTTCATCTGCACAATTTTCTGCTGTGAATTCTGTCACCAAGTGTGTCTCTTAGCAGCTTCTTTTCACACTTTCATCCATGCCAATGTGTAATCTGAACCTCCGTCTGGGTTCCTGTTTTCTGCTTCCACTTTTTCCAGTAAATGTATTCTTTCTGTCTTCCACCGCCCCCGTCTGTGAAAGCATACATGGGACAAGCACACATACATAAAGCTGAAGGAAATCACAAAATACATACTTCTGCTGAAATGAGACAAAACACTGTGCTGAATTCAAAATACAACATATCAACCCATTGTGAGATATCATACCAATATAATACCAATGAGATCAGATACAGATATGCTGGCTTTCTATGCCCAGGTTTTAAAATATCCATCTCTGAGATTTCTGCCACCACCAATACAATGGAGGGGAATAGAATTTAGTTTGAGCTGAAACATTAAATAAATGATTTAACAGCAACACCTCTTTCCAGAAACAGTGTCATTACTCTGGGTCATCCACAGAGCTCACTGTGAACACTTCAACTACACTTTCTACCAAAGAAATAGTCCCTGTGAAAGAATGTTGACAATGTGTTGACTAACAGTCACTCTGCGAAGATGTGTTGCTGTGAATTTGTTAATTATTGTTTCAGTATGTTTTTGGTGTAATTTAGGTAAAACCAAACATTTACACAAACCAGGTTTCAAACCCAGTTTGATGCAGCTTTAAATATCAAGTTCAAAAGTTGAAAGGGTCTTTGTTTTCTCTGTTGCAGGGCCATTATATTAAGCTCATGAGGAAGTAGTTGATGTTAGCTGGGGGGACAGTTGCCATGCTGACATGCGGTGTAGTTCAACACCTCCTAGACAGCCTGCGGGGCATCAAACCCCCTCTGCTGGGGTGATTCGCTTGCCACCATATGGTGCCATGCTGCTGTGACCCCACCTGTCTGTTCAATCTCTGGTCAGGCCCTTACACAGTAGAATTAAAACACAGCAATTCACTGGTCCACCCAAATGTCTTGAGACGCTTTCTTGATACAAAAACTAGTTTAATCATAGAGTGCACAGGGCACTTATCTCACAAGGAGGGCGCCACTCACACACTGCTGTCACTAAGACAGGCGTCCCAGTGACTTGCTAATGGCGTCATCTCCACCTGTGTGAATTTAAAAACTCCCTGAATGAGCATATTGTTTGCTGCAGGGCACATTCGTTTGATGAGTCTAATCCCTTGACATCCCACGTCTAAAGAAACAAAAAGGTGCAACACTCGGCAGCTGAGGATCAGCCAAAGTGTGTGATGGTGTACATGAGCCCTTCTCTCTCAATCCCACACAGGCTCCTAATCCTGGAAGATCAAGTGTAACCAGGCTGGAAGTGTGACTGGGCAGGAGCCAGTGTGATGCTTTAGGTTATGATGACTCACACCCTGATCACTCCTGCCTCACATCAACCACAGAATGGCATACTTCTGTAACCTTTTGTTGCTTTTGGCTCAAAGATTCCTCTTCTTTTTTTTTTATCAAAGGCTAAATGTTTTACGATCTTACATGGACAATATACATTTTTCACCATCATTCTTCATCCACATTGTTTTTGACATATTTTTCACTAATAAAATAAACCTTCTGAAGACTAAGCACAGATGTTTATGCAGTAAGGGGAAAGTAATGTGTCAGGTTCATGTGCAACCATGCATGCCGTTTATAGTAAACATCTGTGCGAAGGCTTTGCATGCACTTATGCTTCATATATGCTAAACACAGACCAAATTGAATATGAATTTTCACAGCACATTGAGGCATCAATCAAAGCTGAGTAGGTAGTAAATTTAACTGAGCACAGGCAGGAGCAAGGCAGCATTAACATGACCCTATTTTTAAATCAGCTACTGTGAGTAATGTTGTTTTCTGTATTTAACCGTGAAGGTTTTATTTCAGTGCCACATGCTCTGATTTAACTAACATCTGATTGCATCCCCTTTTGCAAGTGATGGACTCAAAAATAACCTGTATCATAACTCAGCTGAGCCCTCTGACAGGCCATTCCCTAACCTTGCCCTGACGCACATTTAAAATGGCTTGAATCCTACTACTCATATCATGGCCCGTTCAGTTGTCCGGCTGCCATTCCTGCTTCTGTAAGCTCCTACTGCAAGTCTTGCAAATTGAATTTTCCTCATCATTCATTAATTCTGACCATTTTAATCTTTCTAAATAACCAGTACTTTAAGTTAAGAGTTTTAATGTCTGAAAGTATAAAAATTAAACACATTTATTCGATTCAAATCATTGATTCAATTTGATTGATTTTCTTTGGTTGGGTGGGTGCGGTTTGGGGTGTGTGCCAGTGGAAGCTTGCCCAGGGAACTGAATGTGCTAGGTCCAGCCCTAAATAAACACCTCTGTTAGAAGCTCTGCAGAAAATGTCTCTGCTCTCACTTTTTGTTCAGTGAGGCTCAGCTGCCAGAGCATGTCATCGTGTGAAGGCTGTAGTCCTCTTTTCTGAAATGTATGGATTTTGCCATTAAGCCTGTGTGTGTAATTTACATCATCTTGGATTAAAACCTCCTGCTGTATACCTGCTGAAGCACCTGTAGTCAGGGCTCAGTGATAATCCATAAAAAAGTGAGTGAAGCCTGCGCTGGGAACAGATCTCATGGGTGTGACTATCACAAGCGAAACGATATAATTTGATGTTGAAACATGCTGGTTAGGCAAATTCTTCCTTTTTATTAAATTTCACAGAGATTACAGTTTTGATCTTATTCACTACGTTACGTTTCAATCTATTCACCAGTGGCAGCTTTGAAGTTGGAGAGAGATTTAAAAGCAAGCCAGGTATAGGTTAACAGGGGCCCGCTAAGCCTGTGACAAAAAGACACTGAGACGTGCTCTGCCTCTCCTGATCCACAGGGACTGGAAAAGTAGGCCAGGCTCGGTGTCAGACTGCTGCGAGGATCAGGACGCTGAAGTTGTTGACTTGTAATCAAAGTTCCTTTTCACACTTCATGTGTCAAGAATCTCAGACAGAGAGAGAGAGAGAGATTTAAAATATTCCTCACAAACACACACACGTAGGACATATTTTTAGAAGTGAGGCTTTCCAGCTGAACATTGCGTCAGACAGTGTCATCCAGAGCATCCAGCTTTTTAATAAATCATCTTTTCTGGTGTTGGAAGTTGAACTATTCACCCGCCTACCCCATCAAACACACACATTACAAAGAGACATGAGAGGAAGCAGCACAGAAAATCCTATAGGAAGACTAATAAGCATAAGACACTGATATTATAAATTCAGGCGGACTCCTGAGTCACTAGGGGAATATTATACTGGAGACAAAATTTCAGATTTTAGAATGTCAGCTCCAGTTCTTGAATGTTAGCAGCAAGGAAAAAGGAAATAAGGGTATTCAATGCACATGGAGGATGCTTATCTGCTCAGACTGACAGATGCATTTAGGCTACTTGCGCACTGCTCCATCTGTCTCCTCTCATCTTGTGGAAAGGAACTTGTTCGTGTACATCAAAGGAACCCTACTAGAGAAGACAGCGACTTATCATTTCTAAGTGATTATTCCAATAAACCAAGCTCATGCCTTGAGTTAATAGACAGCCATTTCCTAATTTGCAATTAGGAAGCTTTTTGTGTGTTGACAAACTGTGTTAGGCTCCAGCGCGCAGATGACCCTAAGAGAGACAGAGGCACCAAAACAGCCAGGAGACACTGAGGCTCGTCACGTGTTGTTTGTCCCTCCCGGAGTCCTTCTTGACTCCATAGCGATTTATAATCAGACGGCGAATCACGGGAGCAGCCCACGATGCCGACGCGCGCCATGCAAGCGCACACCCAGTCCGGCAGTGCCTGGGATTGGGTGGAGGGAGTGGTGGCTGCGGACGGAGTCACAGGATTGGTAGAGTTCAGCGCCAAACTTGTTGACTCATAACGGAGCAGCTCCTCACCATCCTTCACGGCGCGGAGCTGTCCAAGGCCAGTGGTGCTGAAACTGCCAGCTTCCGACGCGCCGTTGGAATAATTCCGTCGTTTTTCCCTCCGGTTTGTTTGCTCCCACCAAGCCTTTTAAAGTTACCTGATCTTGTGCAGCACTTCCAGACGTTTGGTTTAAGCGTCGGATATTTATCCACCGTCACCGCTCTATCCAAGAGCGCACCAAACCTTCAACTTCTTCTCCGATCATATAGAGAACTCTCCGAGGCGCAGCCATGGCTTTCATGGTAAAACACGTGGTGGGAGGACAGCTGAAGAACCTGACAGGCGGACTGACGGAGGAGAAACCCGAGGGGGAGAAAACAGAAGCTGCGGCGCAGGGGATGACTCAAGAGGAATTTGAACAATATCAACAACAATTAGAGGAGGAAAAGTAAGGGAATGATTGAAGCTTATGATTGCGCCCTTGTAATACAAACTTACAGTATGTGTCAGGAAAGCATGGCATATTTAAACAGTGCGTTTTTGTGTGTAAATAGCAAAGCGCTCCCAGTGCACCGCGCGCTTTTTTACGCATCAGTGCAATAACATGAGCGCGCCACACACAGCTGCTCCTCTCGCCCTGGGAGCTCTCGGTCTCTTAGATTCGGCAAATTGTGTAGCGCCGTTTTTAATTTGGGATTCCTGGAATCATTCTTCCGCTGAAAAGTCTGCAGGGATTCCTGCCTGGGGCGAAAAATGTTCCTATTGCTGTGCGTGCGGCTGAATAATGAATTAGACTGTGTGGTAAATAAATGTCTATTTGGATATTAGCAGAGACACAGCATAAACTAATATGTATTAACTTGGGCTTTTTCTTTCTTAGCATTCTACTCCAGATGGTTCCTAGTAATTTACATTATGCAGATATATTGCAGCCTAAAGGTTTATACATTGAATTTAGAATGGTATGGCCTCTATATCTTATTTGGTTTTTAGTTGAAATTGCTTATACATACTGTTCACTATTTAATTATTTTGCCGTGCTTGCTTATATCATTTAAATATTTGCTCTGTGTCTCACCTGCAAAAGTGAATTCTTTAAATGTTCTCTTTTCTCAGTCTACATATTTGTTAAGGTGTTTATCTCCTGAGTGCACTGCAGGACAATGTAAGTTAACAGCAAGGTCATTTGGCAAACAGAGTTCACCCAGGAGACAGAAACTCACTATTGATTAGTGTGATGCTTCTCTTGGAGCAAGACTCCCCATATCTCGTATTCACTATCTTAGTCATAGAATAAGTTACCATAATAATGTGGAATAAAGAATTCAGACCAGAGTTTTACCAAAAAAAGGCAAATTCTGGTCATTTATATATATGTGTATGTATATATAAATATATATCATCTAACATAGCATGTGTGCTCTCTGCTGGGAGAAGCGTTTATCAAAAAGACAGAATTATTCAATTGTTTCCTCGCTGGCTCATTCCCGTCAGCACAAACACATTTGATGAACACTTTTATCCAATGAGCCATGTGCAGATATTTTAAGCATGAGTGGGTGAAGTTCTTACTCTTGCAGCGTTCACAGTCAGCTCAGCCCACTGAACTCTACAGGAGGCTTGGCGAGATGCTTAACGCTCTGCCGTCATACCGTGACCTTCACTGGAAGTGAGTTATTAGTCAGAGCTGCTAAACGAGCATAGATCACGAGAAGCCCATACTGCTCAGATTAAAGCAGAATAAGGTTGGGGGGGGGGCTCACACTGAGATGTCACATGTAGATATTTTATCACCCTCAGCACCGGGGCCACAGTGACAACCCTGGTCATCTGATGCCCTTGAGAGTGGAAAACACAAAGCTCTGCTCATTGGTTGCAAGTGAGCGCTGCACGGGCCCATGTGCCATTTGGTGTTTGGCCCCCTCAAGTTAATACAAAGTGAACTCAGGCTCACACAGACAGCACCATGAATGCTACATCTCCAGATAAAACGACCTTCCCCTGACACATTGGTTACAAACACTTTGCAAACCATGCCCGTGGTCCTCTAGTGTCCTCCCGCCTTTAGATTATGCAGCTGACTTGATCCTTCTAAATGTACAATGCAACCTCTGCCACTGTAGCTTTGAAGAACATCATCTATGGTGTTTATTTTGTTATAAGCACCTACTGTATTTCACAGACTGTAATAAAATGTGGTCTTTTGTCACTGAATCATGCTATGTTTGGCCTCAGGCCATATAAGCAAGTTTATTTAGCATTATGTCATGTTGTTGACTCATGATGTTAGAGGCATTTCAGCAAATTTAGCAATTTATGAGGGACAATTATGAACTACACTGAAGCCATTAATTTTCCAGTGACATGGAGTGGAGAGAGCAATGCCAGCAGCTTATTGCCTGCCCTCTGCTGGAGGCATCACATACTGTAGGCTGGATAGGAGTAAGTTTTAAGATATAAATGACAACAGGCTAACAGATAAATATTGGACTTCTCGTAACATTTGGTTTGGCAGAATTTCAGAAATGCCTTGTTTGTATGCAGAGGCTGACTTACGGCAATTATGAAGATGGCTGGAGTGTCGTCTTTCTTTTTTCACCCCTTAGCAGCACTGCCGATCTAAATTTGTATGTTGAGTGGGATTGAGAAAAGTATGCCCAAAAATGTTTTTCCTTCTTTCTTACAGACAAGAACGAGAAGCCAGTTTTGCCCAGAAGAAAGCTGAGAGAGCCACAGTTAGAAGTCATTTCCGGGAAAAGTACAGGCTACCAAAGGTAAACTAATCCAGCTGTGCTTTTGTAAAGAAAAGTAAAGACATCTTTGGACTAAAGTCATGTCATAACATACATAAAATATCTCCAACAGGACCACGGTCTTTGTAAAACCCACACATTCCTGCAGAAGAGTACTATATTTCAATAAACTACAGTGAGATTTAAGCCTTTTGTTCTATACTTGCTGGGTGTGTCAATATGGACATGCATGCATGTGTCTATCTACCTCAGAATGAGATGGACGAGACCCAGATCCAGCAGGCGGGGGACGATGTGGTGTTGCCCACAGAGCTGGCCAAGATGATTGCTGAGGACAACCAAGAGGAAACGCACAAGCAGTCGGTGCTGGGCCAGCTGTCCAACATCCAGAATGTGGACATCGACCAGCTGAAAGACAAAGCCCAGGCCACATTGGAAGACCTCAAAAAGCAGACGGAGAATTGCAGTCTCATGTGATTTGGCTAAATCTTAAGTCCCAGAAGATTAGAGTTTTTCTGTATTTTTCTGAGGCAGAGCTGCTCCGGAGGTAGAAATATTCTTATTGCTTGTGTGGAATGTCAGTTCAGTTGGCGTCACATAATAACAGGTTTCCTATCTGTGCAAAGTTAGACAGAGGCCGTGCAGAAAAAGAAAGTGAAAGAAGCGTATATAAAATCTGGGGCTCAAAAAAAAAGATTCTAGCCATAGTGTCATGGGTGATCTAGTTTAGTTAGCTTTCCTGTTGACCATCAGATATCCTGAAAGTCATGTCATTCATTTTGTTATTGAAATTAGCTAACTTGCACTCTGAAAGACTGCAATTCAACCAATGAGATTATTTCTGCCTTCAGAGCACCTCCTCCTCGGAGAAATATGCGTCTATTAAATCCTTTTACTCATTTACCCTTTTCATTCCCCCAACCTCCCACACTCCTTGTACCTCACAAGACCAGTGACAACACAACATGATTCTGCAGCAGAGGCCTCAGGTGTGTGTGTGTGTGTGTGTGTGTGTGTGTGTGTGTGTGTGTGTGTGTGTGTGTGTGTGTGTGTGTGTGTGTGTGTGTGTGTGTGCGTGTGTGTGCAGGTTTTCATTGCTTCCAAACACACAGCAGAGGATTTCACTGACAAACACGCGTACCTTTAACAAGAGAAGATCACTGAAATCAGCTGCTTGGTCAGAATGAAAACACACGGCTGACGCTGGCTCATGTGAGGAGGCCATATGTGTGTTATGTTGAATTTGGGCAATTATGGAAAACTGGTTAAGGGAAAATGAAAATGCAGGAGCCATTTGTGGGGTTGTTCATATTCCACATACAAAATCTTACAAATGGGCAATATTAGGAACAAATGAGGTAGATTTTTGTCATAAGTAGCTTACTGATGTTGGCCCCCTGGAGCCCTGATGAAAGCTCCCTGTGAGCTGCATTAATCTTAGTTTTGACATATCATTATTAAAGCTTTTATCAGAGGGGCTTTTTCCCATACTTCAGTGTGCCTTGGACGTCCATACAAGGCTGTCTTCTCTAGACCTCCAACATCTAGCTACTTATTGCAAAGACAGGACCTTCTTGTTTGTTTCTGCAGGAGGCTTTAAGTTTGATTAAAAGCAACAAGGAATTTGTGAGCAGGCGGAAATGATGTCTTACTTGAGGGCAGAATAGATTTGCTGTCTTTTGTCTGTTGTAAGTACAGTTAAGTTTGTACAATAACTGTTCTCACACGTCTAACATACATAGGGATGATCCTGCTGAGGTAAAAAAAAGAAAAGCTGCTCAGATGAGAGAAATGTAAATGCTTAGTCATACGCTAAAGCCTTTGTTGAAAACACTCACAAAAATGTTGAACTGTGTAACTGCTGTGTGAGCATAAGTCACACATATATTTGTGTTGTGTAAGATGTAGATGTATCTGCTGCTTGCCTATACTGTTGGCAGCGCGTCGTTCTTCACTTGGTTTTCATCAACTCGCTGCGTCTTGTAGTGTTGTCGACTGTCACATGACCTTTGACCTGTCCTCCATCTCTATGACCCCCGCGTGTGGTGCCGTTTTGTGCTGGTGGATTCGTGTTGTTTAGCTGGTGTGATATGTCAAGTGGTGTCTTAATAAAAACTTCGTCCTGTGGCAGAGAGTGCTGGTCATAGTGTTACACAGCGAGTTACGGTGGGCTTACTGCGTAACTCGCTATTCTGTCTATGTTGTTTTCTAGCCAAGCTAAGTGAAGGTGGGTGGTGAACCAAGAGGGGATGTTGTTGATGTTGTGTTACATTCATATACGCCAGTGTCTGATTCCTGTGATGGTCCTACTGCCACAACGTGTTTTTCTGGGTACTTTATGATTATAAAAGTTTTCCTTTTACACGTGCGCATTTTATTTTAGAGGAAAAGTGGGCAAAAATGCATTGACTGTTTTCTCTAAGGTGAGTGGTAATTTCCTTGCTGTAGGTGCCACACTACCGCTGAATGAAAACTTAGGCAACACTTGCCGTGCTTATTGTCATGTGATAGATAAACAGTATATTCGTGACATTTCAATAATATAATGCAGAGAAAAAGTTGCAATAAGTCCTTTTATAACAGAGCTACTACAATCTGTTGTGTCCGATCATAAGACAATATTAATGGGTGGAACAGAAGCCATAAAGCAAACTGTTTGCTTTGTATGAGTGTGTGTGATTTAAAATAATAGTTCAATAACTCAATAATAATAATAATAATAATAATAATAAATGTAATTTATTCTGTTATGATTCTGTGGAACAGATTTTTCAGGAAATGGCTGCCATGACACACAGTTTCTTCTCGTTCTTTGGCTGTTTCTTTGTTTCACAGTATCTCTATCATTCTGTCTCTGAAAGTATTTCAGTGATTTTTTGAGTTCCAACTGCAATAAACTCATTTTTAGGATAATGAACTTCCTTTCTGTTTTGTGTGATGTACTGTACATTTTGTGGCGATTTGTCAGTAGTCTTGCATTTGCAGCACCCAGAACACCAGGTGGAGACAAAATAACACTCACAACTACAAAAGCATCCAACAGGGAGGCTGCAGATAGATTATGATTGACATGTCAGCATATGGGAGGTTGGGGTCAGTTAGTATTAAACGATAAAAGATACAATTACGCATTTCTTATGGGAGAAAACATCCTCAGCCTGTGGCAACGGATAATCCATATACCAGTGTGTACTAAAAGCCTACTTAAAAATAAATATTCATGCATGTTTGTATGTACACCCAGAGGCCACTTTATTAGGTGCACCTGTACAATGTGTTCATTCATTTATGGTTTTAGCTTTGAGTTCATAGTTAGTGATGGTGTGGTGCTGGGCTGCATCACACTGAGAGGTATTCACATACAAACAATTAAAAACATATCACAATATAATGTAGTCCAGTACAACTTCAGCTTTCCCCCCACCAACTATCAGACTGTTAAACTCAAATTCATCCTCAGCACTGCTCCACTGAATATAGTTTATTTCTGTTTACCATTTTTACAATTGCTTCTGTATCAATGTATATTGTCTGCTATGCAGCAGAAGGGAGTTACAAATCTCAATTTCACAATATATCCTGTTATATTGTGACAAATAAATGTACCTACCTACATACAACACCACATTTCACTATGAGCTCAACAATTAACATAGAATTGAATTTAAATGTTTCAGACAATCTCAACATAAACTGAATATTTTACATCTCCTAAGAGGGCATTTATAAGGGTATAGGGAGACAGACCTGAAGCTACTTTGCCGAAAAAACAGAAAAAGAAAATCAAGTTAGTTACCATTTCAATGGCAGAAAAGCCTGAACTATTGGTAGTTTTCAAGTGTGGTGTGAAAGGGGATAGCTGTAAAATATATTGATGCTGAAACCCCTCTCTATTGATAGGCTGCAGTGCGTAGACAATATGCAGCCTGGAAAGACACTGGCCCGCTGCATGGCCAATCTGACACAATTGATGTGAAACGGGCCAGAAAATACTATTCTTTCCCATTCTTTTCTGTCAACCGGGGCTTAAAACTCTACAGAATGAGAAGCAGGACATGGAGAGGGGGAAAGAGGGACAATTAGCGAGAACCTGTAAGTGAAAACCCTAATCGGCGAGGCTGTTATCACAGTGGAAAACGGTAACACATTTACTAGCTAAAAACCGGAGCAGTGAAATTGCAGATGTGAGCTTCTTGCAAAGGAATGCGTTTTGCAAGAACCCCCCCCCCCCGACACACACACACACACACACACACACATTTGTGATTTGCTACAACAAAGGGGGACCACACAGATCCAGGGTTTCAAGCAAGGAAAATCATAAACATTTTCCACCAGTCTATCTCGTCATGTACTGCGAGGATTTGTGCTCAGAGCTGTGCTGCTAGGCCTGGAAATGGGTCCCACGGATGACTCCTCAATGACGACCAATCGGTGGCCAGGATTGTAAATAAGAGGGGGTGAGGGAGGGTTGGGGGGAGGAAAACTTTTCTTTCTTTTTTTCGACAGAAGGAGGGGTGTTGTGGGGAAATGCTCGGCGGACCGTGAAGCGAAACAGCAAGAAGAGGGACAAAGACGCACATAGCGGGACAAAATGCGACAGATAGAAACCTCTTCCTAAACAAAAAAAAAAAAAAAAAAAACACATCGGAATGCGTGGATGGATGTTAAAAGTAGTAGGACTGGAAACAAGAGTAGAAACCAACAATGACAAGAAAACTGAGTTCAAGTGTACAAACTGAGTTGTAGACAATAACTATGGTTATAGAGTGCGCGTAAACTTTGGATTGTGTCCACCTCCTATCTGCACCGGCGGCATGGAGCACACACAGGCTGCACTTTGGAGCAGGCTATAATTTCCCATTTTTGAACGGACATGCTTCCCGGAGTGACTGTAACTGCGCGGTTTCTCTTTTTTGCAGCCACTCGTTGTGATTTCCCTGACTCAGATCCTGTATTCTACTGTAGCAACGCTCACCGGGAAGAGGCACACATAACTTTCGTGCAAGTTTGTGGATGATTTATAAAGGTCCTGATTCTTTTTCTTCGATTGCGTTGGTTGCAAAACGCATGTACGGAATCCTTATGAACTTCAGTCTGTGAGATTCAGTGTGTAAACTGCCTAGATGCTAATGTGCTGGTGGAGAAAGTGCACGTCGCCGAACTAGAACTCCATCCAAGCATGAAATGTTGGTGCAGCGCCCTGGCACTTCTCCCGTGGGTGCTGGTGGCTTTAGATGCCCAGCTAATCTGCTGGCAGGCGCTCCTTCGGTGCCACGACGAGCCCGAGTGCGATCTTGCATACAGTCAATACTTAGCAGCTTGTGACGGTAACATCAGAGGCACGAGGAGGCAGTGTCCGAGCCACTGCATCAACGCGCTGATAAGGCTGAATCACACCCGCAGCGGGCCGGACCTGGAGACCTGCGACTGCGCCCAGGACCTGGAGTGCCTCACTGCCAAGAGAGCCATAGAGCCGTGCCTCCCCCGCAGACACCCAACCGATGCAGGGGGTATAGGGTGCATGGAGGCCCGGCAGCGCTGCGAGGAAGACAGCAACTGCCACACCTCCCTCACGGCCTACTTGTCATACTGTGGGCAGCTGTTCAACGGTAGGAAGTGCTCCTCCAAGTGTAAAGCCACCATTCAGCAGATGCTGTTCATCCCAAATGGCATGCTGCTGAACCGCTGTGTTTGCGATGGGGTAGAGAGGCCTTTCTGTGAAGTGGTCAAGGAGAACATGAGCAAACTTTGCTCCATAGGAGACCACATTGTTATTTCAGACCAGCCTGATGTGGAAGACATGTATGAGGATGAAGACTATGACCCTAAAGGCGACAGAGAGGAGATATATACTGATCATTCCTCTGCTTCCCAGAGGTTGTCCAGCTGCATGATGCTCTTCTTTCTTCCTCTAGCACGGACATTGTACTGAGATGATGGGTACTTGAAACATGGATTGAAAATGAGGCTGTAGAGAAATAATCTTTGACCTCTCCAGGGAGCCAAGAGTCCAGCTGGAGCTGGTATGGAATCAGTCACTTGATCAGAGACACTTTCGCTGACATTGACTTGCTGGCTCAGGACTCAAACCCACGCAGGTCTGTTGGATAATGGAAGCTATTCTTTCACCCCCAGGCCTCCCTGCTGTCCCATTTTAGCTGCAGGGTGACAGTGAGCATACTAGTGATTTGAGTAGGCTTTCCACAACTGTACAATTTGCATAGTAATTCTTCTCCATGGGCGTCTCACTCAGGAGAACTGCTTTTTTGGATTTGTGACTCAAATCTTCACAAAGATGGCCTTTACAGTTCTCTGAGTGAACTGCTCACTTGCTAATGCTAAAGTGAAGGGAAGCCAGTTTGTCTCAAATGGCAAAAATACTTTCAGTGAACCACACCAGACTTTGTTGCAGGGCATTGCCATTTTGTGTGCCTTAACCAGGTCTTGTTTGTTTGGTTTGGATTCAATGGCACTTGGCATGTGGCCTTATTAAGACCTTGGACAAACATTGGAACCATCCAGTCTGTGTTTGCTCTGCTCTCCATTTCAGGGGCCTCTGTATTGTTGCAGGAACCACACTTCAAATATTTGTGGGAACAGTCAAAGGACAGGCAAGGTTGTGGGATCAAGTACTGAAATTAACTGAAGCGCCTCTCCAGCACTCTGTCCGGGTCCCCTCCCCCAGATGAGATTGTTTTATTGAACTTTTCCTGAGACCCCCTCCAACCCCACCCCACTCCTTCTTCCTCTCTACTGTCTGCCCCTTTCATGCCTTTACGAGACCTCTGTCTTTATTACTGCTTCCACACTGAAGCATCAAGCAAGGAAAAGCTGCCTGTCGCTGATGTGAATAAGTCAACATATCATACCTGGTGTTTGTCCAAACGACTGCACATGATTAGAGGTTTACCTGGCCTGACACGGCTTAGCTTTGTTATGTATGGGATTTACAATTTTAAAACAAACTGTGTGATTCCAAGTTGTTGGAATCATCAAACAAAGACATTAGATTTTATTGATTAATAAGGATTGTGGACCAAACACCAGGTCATGATCTATCTTATTGTATCTCCAGTGTAGCAGCACTGCAGCAACCACACAATAATCAGTGAGCATGGCAGTGTCACAACGGTGTGTGAATAGGAACAACAAGGTATTCACTTGTGAGCAGTAGTCTGGTATGAGTGGTGAAACATGGGTTGAGTGTATGTTAATTATTTTGCGACACACAGTGTTTGTTAAAGAAGTATGAGTGTTGCTAACTAAACAAGAGGTGTAGCTTTTAACATGCAGGATTGGCAACAAGTACTTTATAAAGAAATGCACAAATACAGATTAAATTCCAGCTAATTAAAACAAGAGATTAAGAAGAATGCATGACATTCATATTTTTAGTTGCACATATTTACATGACGAGATGCTCTGTGCAGCTACTGAGCAGTTAGCGGGGCTAATCTTACCTATTTGAAGGTCCACACCGATAGTCCAGGGATTCAAAGCAGAGGTCCTTCAGTCTCACGTCTTTCTTCCACTACTCCACTTTAAGCTGTTTAGCAAAAAGGGAAGGTAAAAGCAATGTTTTCATTAGTACTGATCACTTGTAATGAAGCTGCCAATTTGTGTGTTTGCCACTTGAAATTGTGTCAAAACTAATATTTTTGTCTTGTTGATAAATGTTAAATTATAAAGCTAGAATATGAAGAGTAAGTGTATATATACACTTTACAATTATATGCAGTAAAATAAGCCAGTGTCTGCCCACTGTCACTTATGTTCATTTAATACAATAAAAACACACCAATGTAGCTCAGATTTCTCCCACAAAATCTGACATGATTTAGAGTTTTCAATTTTTCCATTTCATTTTGCAGGAACGTAGCAGTAAACAGTTCAGAGCAGTGTCTTCAATGTGGGATGGTGCGTTTTATAATAAAATGTTTATGACCTGAAGTTGTGTAATGATGTGATTTGTCCTCAGAGAGATCAAGAAAGTGTCCCTAACAATTCTTTAAAGCCCTATTAAGGTGGATTTTTAATCCACTTGACTGTGTCTTTGAATGAGGGGAACCTTCATGACCCCATTAATATGTTTAATGATATAAGAAGTATATGCTTCAGCTTGGGAAGTAGATGCACAAAATGTTCTATTTCCCCAAATTCCCCAAAAGACTTGAATGCAGTAATACTTTCTCATTTTAGATTTACTTTATTAACTATTTATACATGGCCTTTTGAAGATGCTATATGCAGTATCTGTAAACCAAAGAAAGAAAGTCAACCAAGTGACTCCAAAGTAAGCACTTCATGTGGCTATGTTTCACTATCTAATATTTAGAGGATTAGGTCAGTGTAACTGAAGAGTGGTGAGGAATTTTAAGTGCCTAGTCGTTCCGCAAAACATCCTCATTGGAGCAAAAAGACAAATCAGGATTCTACCTACAATTTACGCTCAAATTGTAATTAAACCACCAAAGATTTTTAGAGGTGGAAGGCATGTCAATTGATCCAACTGAGCTGGTATCAGAGGAACTTGTGCACTTTTCAGTGTATTCACAATCCTTGCTAATGACCAAAACTCTAATGAACCAACCGTTTCAGAGCCAGCAACCATTTGGGGCTTTTTCCACACTTACTTTGGTATTGGTATTTACAAGTCATTAACAAATTGTAAAACCGTCATTTAGTATTACAGCCAGGTTGGAGGTGTACACCTGTTCTGCAAATGTAACTCTAGTCATGCTAGTCCAAAAGGTACAAAAGTGAAGTGCAAGAGTAGAAAATTAACAAACTGAGAGAAAAATGTTAAGAAGGAACCGATTTAGTTGAAACTGCCTTCATCCTTTTTGTCAAGCTCCTTTCGGCCCTTTTGACAGAAAGGATGTGTCACTATGTATAGTTCATTTAACAGCAGGATACTGATTGGGGTAGAGTTGTTACACATTTCTACACATTGTCAACTGCTGCCACTATCCTTTGATAAAAAGACATGTTTCTATAACCCATATTTGTCAGGATTTCCCCAGATGTGTATCGCAAAGTAGACCTATGTGTGATTAGAGTAATTATTAGAAGTTTGTTTCTTGACTTACAGGTGGAAAATTTCAACATCTCCAAGCCTGGAGGAGAACATATGCACAGCTTCTCCTGATTTTTTGTTAACCACAGGAATCCTTAAGCACCTCCAACTGTCTAATCTGTCATAAAACAAGGAGAAACAATGTGGCCTTCGGCTACAGTATAGCATGACTCCCTTTAGTTTAGTTAGATTGTCTATGATCCAATCTGTATTAACCATTGCCACGCATCTTAAAGTCCTCCAACTTAACCGCCACATCCCCTTCACCCCCCACCCCGATTCTGGGAGCAAAATCAAAACAAACATAAGCAGAGCAGCCTTGGGGAGTTGAGTGTGTGGAGGGAACAGGGATACAGAGGCAGCACTGTGCTGGAGCCCATTTCCTAAATTATCTTTATTCAACATTTCTCTGAAACAACCCCCCGTCCCCCTTCCTCTCTTCAGCGCTCCAAAGTGGGAGTGACCCGGGGATTTAGGAGGCTCTTGTCTCTCATAGGTACAATGTTCCATTCATGATAGCCATCGCGCCACAGTGAATGGCTGACCTGCACTCTGTTTTCAGTGCACGGGGTGCAGGAGTCAAGGGCACCCAGTTGCCCCAGGTCTAGAACACAGAGACCCGTCTTTACAGGGACATTAATGCCAACGTGACTTGACCACTGTCCCTTTTACAGTATCAACAGTGTCACAGAAAGAGAGAGATTAAAAAAAAAAAAAAAAAGAGAGTGAGAGAGGGAGCCTGGAAGGGGAAAGGGCAATAAGTAGTGCTGTTGGAGCTGCAGCAAAATGGAAGCCAATTAAAGCCACAATGCCGTCAGTTGTGGTTAGGAAGAGGAGACTGAGGGGTGTGGGGGTTGTCCTGCAGGATGAGGGTGGCAGGTTAAGATTTCCATTTCAGAATCTCCCTTTCTGGGTTGCATTATAGGATATAGTCTATGCACTTTTGGGGGGCAATATAAATTGGCAGAGCTCCCAGAAACAAGCAGCAAAGCAAGCACTAGGGTCAAAATTGCATCCAAAGGTTTCCTGGCAGCAACATGCTCATGTCATGATTAAAGCAATGAAGCTGAGCCAACACCATAGGCACCGTACAGCCCCCTCCCTCCACTGCACAGCCACAAATGCAGCACCCGGTGGTTCTCTCTCCTGTTGCTCCAGGACTCGGGCCACGGTGCTCTCTGTTCTAACCATACAATCTGGGAGTGATTTACACCTGGCATGCCAGGTGAATGTCATTAACCAGCTGGTAGGGCAAATACAAACATTACTGAGTCCCGGGCAGATTTGAAAACCACTTGTTAAACCTAAAAAAAAAACCACACTCTATTTTACTGCTTTTAGGGGAACTAGGCATATTTTTTTCTAATTCTTTGATTTCCCAAAGATTGTTTTATACTTTGAGGCACAATTTTGAAGTGGGCCTCCAGAGAGATTTAGTATTGCACCTCCATAAATTTGAGGGACTCACAAGAAACTGATTTTTTATATAGTCAAAGTTGAAGCAACAGAGGCTACGACATCCTGACTTTTAGTTCCTAGTATGGGTGAAGTGCCAAAAACACTGGCTCCTACATTTCCCTGAATGCAATTCAACACCATCTTTCAGAAGACCCACTACCTGGTCCACACACTTACATTTCCAAACACAGGCTTTCTGTTATACATTTGTACTCCCCAAGTCCATAACCCTGATGACATCACTATGACATCATAAGGGATATTTTCTCAGACTTGACAAAGCTCCTCCAGAGCCACAGAAAACCTTGAAACTGTTTTCACAGGTGGCACTAATCCAGTCTTCCTTCATCTTTCTAAAATGGCTCCTTTTTTGCATTTCAGTTTTTTTGAAAACCTTAATTTCCACTTCTCTTGTCTGGAGTAACCTGCAATGAGTCCAACATTACTGGCTAATTATGACCGACAAGTAGTAAGCGAAACTTTCGTAGTACAGTGAAAAGAGCTAGATCTCTCATACATAGCAGAAGAGACATGGGCAATAAAAGGAAAAAAAGATAATATACTTGTAATTAATTCTTTGTGCAGTTCACATGTCTGAGATCTGTTGTTTGACATTTTCAAATTCAGTTTCCATAGTTTTCTAGACTTCCATATGAATCATATAATTATTACATGTCCTTACTTTCCCTTGCCTGCCTTCCTCTCTCCTCCCCTTGTGGATATGAGCCAGCTGTTTCTACAGAGCGGCCTTCCAGATGATGACGATGGCGAGGGACCAGCAACGTTGCTCACACCACGCCACATAAATCTTTCCATAGGTTCTGAAAGAAAAGCGTTTGCCTTGTGCGGTTGACAAAAAATCCAGACTACAAAGACCTCAGAGATTGCCATTTTATTTTCCACTGAATTTCTCATTTAATAAATACATAACATATAAAATCACAGCTGTATAAACATTCAAATAAAAATAAAACAACACAGCAGTATGGAAATCATACATTTATCAGATATATTTATATTTTTTCTCCTTTAACTCCTGTTTCAGATATTTTCTCCAGTTTATTCACAAAGTAAAGCTCCCTTCTGGAATATCCAATACCTGTTTGAAATCAAAACAGTCCATGAAGACCTACAACAGCGAGGATTACCGGCCTTCCACTGACTGTTAAGCTTTTTACCGTTTCACAGAGGCCTAGTTATGAAGGCTTAGCTTACGCGCCACAACTCACTATGTCCCTCAAATACCCAGCCAGTGCCAAACCTAAGAAAATGCAAGTCTAGTGTAAATAAGGCAGAGGCCGCACCTCTCCAGTTTTTCCCTCTTAGTGGTGAAGAGGGCTCCATCAGAAGAGAGGGCATGGTGAGCCTGTGGTTGACCCACAGTAAACGCAGTGGGGAATGGGGGTGAGGGATTATGTGCATGTTTGCAGAGGCCTCAATATACTACAGTTTAAATTGATTTGATACTTCTTGATGTCACAGTTCCCATTTGATTGTATTTTCAGGTTTTCACAGTTCATTTTTTTTTGGTGTGCTGCAAACAGTGAAAGTTTTGCGCTACAATAAATGCAGCAGTCTCAGTTTAATTCGTTTACCATGAAAGTGTGGTATTGTCATACAAGCTGTCCAGCATTTACATATCAATGGTGTGTCAGGAGGAGGGATTTGAGGCAGTGCAGAAACAGAGTGGGACATGCAAGGAGCTAACTTTCACATTCACCAGTGTGCAAGTGCAAAATTCAGGAGCTACTTTCAGTATTTTACCAGCCAAACTATTTCCCCCCTCAAAAACAAAAAATACAAGTTCTCAACCTGCAAAATCAGCTACTTAGATTTGGCCCCTGACAGAAACCTGGTCAGGTGAAGGCTCCGTGTTCAACCTGAACACTGACAGGCAGTCTGGTGTTCTGTGGGGCATCCCACCCAGTTCCCACGGTGCCAAGCTCACTGCAAACAGCAAGCTGAGAAAACAGAAATAATTGATGCGTGTTAGGTTTCAACTTTTCAAGATTGCAACACATTTCCACTTTTAAATTTCTTACTTTAATTCAAATAATCAAGCTAAGGTGACCAGTAACCATATCAGTCTTTCACAAAGATGGCCCTGTCTGCTGCTGCCTTCAAGATTACACAGAATACTATATTCCACTATATTTGTTTTAGACACTTCTACGTCTAAAGGAAAACGAAGCCTTGGACTAAACATTCTCAGCATTGTTAAATACCAGCAATGTATGATATCTTCTAGCTTCATGGTTTATATTATGTGATAAAATGGTAACAGTTTACATTTTCTATGTACCTACTACTTCAATCACTGATTTCCTTCATTTCCTGAAAGTCTATGAACATTAGGATGGCAGCAGCTGGACCCCAAATTCAACAATGGGTGTTATATGGGAAGTCCAGAAATAGGCTAAGCCTTCACTCACTGATTTAAAGGACTGTCTCAAACACTGGATGATAATGACTGCAGAAAGTAAGCATGTGCTGATATGAACATTAAGATTATCTTGGCAAAAATACTGTATACAATAATATCATTCATTGAAACATGCAGAAAAACAATACCCTTATAAAGCAAAGGTTTCGATGAAAATCATATAATAATGTAAACCGTTTCATAATAATAAATATATAACTTGTTCTGTTGCCTCCTTTTCTTTTTTTCCAGATGATGTAGCTTTAAGTCTGTGAGGGTTTAGAGCTTCAGGCGTCAGGGGAGGACATTGTACCTGAAACACTGCGTGCAGCAGTATATTACATGTAAATTGTCTGAGTTTGATGGTTCTCAGAAAAACAGTTTTGGTAAGTAAGAGCAAGAGTAAGGTCACCAGACAGAGTTGGGCGTTGCTGCGACCCTCTCTAACACAGCTGGTTTTGTATCGGTTCCAGCTAGTATGGCTGGCTTTATTAAAATAACAGCAGTAGAATAAGAATCCAAGTTCTTCATGAAACCTGAGGGGCCCCTAGAGTCATACATGCTCTTCCCCCACCCCCATTTTTTAAATTCATAATTCCCCAGGAATTTCTTGCAGAGAACAGGATATTGACTAAGCTTTAGGTATCTACTATCCATCCAGAGCTGAGCCCAGAAAATACCACGAATTGGGCTGACTTACAGCAAGGGAAGTTCAAGTATATTAAAATGTAAGTCATATTAGCTTTTTATGTATAGTAGTTTGTTTATATAGTGTACAGACATGTTATATAATTGATACAGTATATATATAAATATATATATATAAAGCAAATTTACACGTGAGTATGTGAAAGGAATGAAGCGTACATGTGCGCCCTGTTGTTGTTTCTTGTGTCTGTGTGTTAGGAGGGTAAATCTTTGCTAGCACCAAGTCTCACTTTCACAAGGTAGGCTTTACAAGAGGGCAGAGGACAGAGCGGCCCGAGGCAGCTCTGAAATGAAATCAAAGAGCCAGACAGTCCTGCGGGGTGGCCAGCACAGCAAGAGAATGGCTCATATTTTACAAGTGGAAAAACCTTTCATGAATGGACATTTCATTACAACTTTAGGCAGCAATTCCCCCCACCACCTGCCCTACACCAAACCCCAATACAGTCACTTATCAGCAAAAACATGAACAGAGGAGCAGTTTAAGCAACATGGCAGGGAAACTCACAGCTTCTGACACTGTCTGCAAGAGATTCTCGATCCAGAGACACGTCGCTCTGAGTTTCCTGCATCTGAAAAATAAACATATACCTGTAATTACGCAGAAAAAATAAGCAAACAACATGGGCATTTAATACCAACACAGGGACTAAAAGATTTCTGGAGCATAATACTACTACTACTAATAAGCTTTATTTATATAGAACTTATCAAAACAATGTATAAAGGATGTAACTATCTTCACTGAACATCATCATCAATGTTTTAAGTTCCAATGATTTAGTAGTATCCAAACAGAAGCTTTAATTTTGCCACTACTCTGTTTTTGATATCAAACATATTCTGTGTTCTCGGCTGCAAATTTACCCCAACAGTCTGAAAACGTGTGACTTATCCTTCATATTTGGAAGGAATGTATGCTTACCTTGATATGCTTTTTAAGGTATTCAGCTCTAGTCATGAGGCTTTTAATCTGGCGAGAGACATAACATTCAGATAAAATGTAACTACAGTTTACACTTTAACCACAAGTGTTACATCATGCTTTCATATGCATTGGTTCTTCTGATTTTAGCCAAGGTTACAGCTTGGCTCACAGGAATGGCAATGTCGGTGGATTGGTCCACCACTTTGGTCAAGACTGAAATACCTCAGCAACTTTTGGATGGATTGTCATAACATAATGTTTTGTGTTTTAATGTTTTCCTCTAGTGCCACCAGCAACTTGACATTTTTAGGTTTTTAATGAAAATCTCTAGTGGATGGATTGCAATGAAATTTGTTAATCCTTTGATTTTTCATCTAGCACCATCGTCAGGTCTTAATCTGAATGTGTCCAATACTTTATGACCAAATTTCTGCAAAACTAAGGACTTTCCCATCAGCTTTGGCTGTATTTTGTGCAGCAAATGTTAGCATGCTAACACATCAGATTAAGATGGTGAACATGGTAAACACTATACCTGCTAATCGTTAGCATTGTCACTGTAAGCATGTTAGCATGCACATTAGCATTTAACCCCAAAGCACCGCAGTGTCGATTTACAGCCTCACAGAGCTGCTAGCATGACTGTTCTCTTGTTTCACAATAAGTGCCAATACAAGCTCTTGAATTGAAACGAGATTATGACTCTCCTGCATTTTAAATATAAAGATTTTTAATTTTTTTTTTTTTTTTTTAAAAGAGGCCCTTGAATAATTTAAAACACATTTACACATACATACATACACACACACACAAATACATACATATATAAAGTATGTTAGAATGATTAGGAAAACATTGTTATTTCTTTGGATAATTTTGTATTCATAAATTATATTAATTTTCCTTTATGTGTTTCACTTCAAACGGATGTCATTAGTGTATATTTTAGTATCTAACTAATTAAAATGTGTAGCTGTGCTCCATTAGTTTGTCCTGTTAACTCTATTAGCTATGAGCTATTTAAGTGTCATAAAGGGCAGGTAAGTGTAGTAAAAAAGGCGAGAGCACCTACTGGCATGTGCTGCGGTAAAAAGGTCATCCTAATGGACATGGAGCAACAGTTTTCTAACCGTCGCGTTGTGTATAGCAATAAGAAAGTTGTTACCTGTGTGTAAGTAAGTTTGACGGAACACATATTTAGGACTCTGCCTGGAGACATTTATTTTGTAAGTGTCGTCTTTTTTTGTCAACTAAAACATCGGATATTTCTTCATCTTACATCTGCCTCCCTGCCTCACTGGACTATACAGTTTTGCCCTTTTTGTAAAGCACGAGTCAGAAACTTTATGTCCTGTGAAAGTGACAAAATAAGTTTTTGAAGTTGCCACTACACAATATAAACACATTAAATAAATGTGCTTTAAATTACTTTCAAGGCCTGTGTATAATCAAAAAAAATCTCTCCAAATCTTTTGTTTCAATTACCGGATGTATTTTCTGAGCTGTATTTTCTTGTTTACTGTTAACTGCGGTGTCTTCATGCAGCCGAAAACACGATAACTTTAAGATGCGTAGGCGACATAAACTCGATGTTAAAATCAGACTAAAGAGTCTGCTGATGTGCTTCTTGTTCTTTCTGTTATTTATTTATTTATTTTTAAACATTTCATATGGTACACACGTGCTAGTAATGTCTGCTGTCATATGCTCCTCACTGTGGTAATCAGTCCTCTGGTGATCATGAAGGTTCTTGGTTGCACCTCATACCTAGTTTGATCACCACTATATCACTGTATAAAGCACGCCCTGTTGCAGAAAATAATCATTCTGACCACAGGTCCTTAGAATCCAGCCCTGACCCTAATCTTATGTACCCACAGCACTTTAATCACAATCCCTTTAATCAACAAGTACAATAAATGTGGAAGAACTCTACATGGGCGAGGATGGTTCATGGAACATATTGATAACTTGCAGAGTTTTAAAAGGCACCTTCTGAAACTCAGGCCAAAGGAAAACATGACCTCATGTATGTTCTTCCATAACAACACAACACTGGATAGATCAAAGTTGTGGCTCACATATGAGAAGATAGGATACTGAATAACAACTTTGAAAGTGTGCTCTACAGTAGATGTGAACGCACACAGAGGCCTGTCATGGCAGCATGTGTTTGCTTTTTTGGGTTCTCACTTACAGTATACACATGCTTTCTATCGGATTTGCCACCCCCACCCCCCTAATGCTGTGTTAGATTATTACAGCCGCATCTGAATTTACTTAAGACAAGTGCCTATAAAACTTCAAATAGGGAGGTCTATGAGGCCCACTCAAACCCCCATCCCCCGTCTGGGGTTTGTTGGTGAAATACTGTTGTCTGTTGTTGGCTCAGTTACTGGCTAAACAATGCAAGAAAACAAAAGGGTTTGGAGCATTAATGGCAGACATGCACAAGTTGTTTGCAAAGGTTTGTCAAAGTATAATATCAATGCTAATATTCATCTTGCTTCCTGAAAGTTAGGGCCAGCAAATCAGTTTGTTCAAGTATGTTCGGTTGTAGTCTACAGGAAGGGTCTTGTTACTTTTTATTTTAGGGTTGATTATTATTACTATTATTTATCTATCTGTTTTTGTAACACATATCTAGTTTTTTTTTTTTTTTATTACCTAGGTCTGTTCATTTCAATTTCAACTTTAAATTAGTTAAGATGAGTGTTAATGAAATAAGAGTTTAACCTGTAGTTGAGGGAGTTTAAACTTGCAATAACTGATTTATTATTATTTTTTTGGGCCACTTGGGCAACAAAAACAAGCTGCAAACACAATAGCGGCATAATATCACCTTTTAAGTTAATATGGCGAACTTGTTAGCAAACAGTTGCCTATTTACACATCCAGCAGAAACAGAACAACATTAGCATTAATTTGAATGTAACGTTCAGGTGGTTACTCTCCTTTTAGCTCTTTTTTTTGGTTTCCACCAACTCCTCATATCCTGATATATATGGCTATTTAGCTGCTAAATGCCCCACTATTGTATGTTCAGCGGCTCTCTGGACAGCAAGCATAGAGTCAGTTTGCAGGGCTATTTCACTGAAAACAGCTGCTAACTGCAGCCAAAAAAAAAACACTAATGAGAGTGGTGACAGTGAACCAACAGAGTAAAATAAAAAAGAAACCAAACCAATGAACTGCATGTCGTTATACAACTTCATAGAGCTCAGGGCAACTGCAGAGTTTGTTTGTCACTACATGTGACTCTTTTCACATACAAGTGGCCATGGGATCCATTGCTGATGAGAAAAAAAAATATCTCTCTCTCTCTATAGAGCTGCTTTAAGTATCCAATTATAAAGTGGACAGTGATCTATGTGTATGTAACAGTAGTATAGATGATGGATTACGTTATTTGACCTTTACCATAAAAAACATGCACATGGAAAAAGGCTCACGGGTCATGTGTTGGGTGATCAGCCAAGGGCTCGTTGGAGGTGACAGATAGTCGTTTCTACCATGAGCACTCAACCAGAATCCCTTCCTCATCTACTCACCTCGCTGTGGAGCAGCTCTCTCCTGCGGCCCTGGGGCTCGGCTGGCTCACCAAGAGAAAAAAAAAAAGATACAGAGAATAATGAGGAGAGGAAGGGAGGAGAGAGTCCACCTAATCACCTTGTTTGTTCAAGAAGAGGTCAACTACTAGATTGGATTTCGCTAACGTGTAGACTGGGTGCTCGGGGGTGGAAATGGTTCTAATGTAGGCCAGTGTTTTCACAGTCAGTCCTCCTGGAGGGGAGAGTGGCGGAGAGAGAAGAGAGAGAGGGGAGGAGGATGAGAGCTCTCTGGTGGCAAGGCATGTTGGGAAGCTGTGCTACAAAGAGCTCTTAGCCAAACAAAGAACCAATGTTTTCTCCCCCACAATCCCCCTGGTGGTATCTGCCGTGCCACACAAAGAGGCTCTCTGACACTGGAGAGAGAGGCTGGTTAGGATGGCATGGGATTAGTTGGACCAGACTGTCATATATTAATGATCCACTGACAAGATGAGGTTCTGAACTATTTCTTTAGGTACATCAGGCAGTAAGTGTAACATCTACAATTTATCAACTCAAGTCAAAAAGTATCAGTCTTACTGGATGAACCTTTAACAGCACTGGATGATTAGAGCTTTTGTTTATTAGAGAGATAATAGTTTTTATTTGTTTCCAGTGCGTAACAACATATAGCACTGAAGTGTGTTGTCTGAATGAGAAGCAGATGGCAGGGCTCTCATACCACACACAGGGCGCTGGCACCGGGTCTCATCCCGGCTCAAAGCCACATCTGGATCACTCTATCCCACCTCTTCCATCGACCGACCTTCCAGATGAGCTCATGAGCCCGGGCCTAATGGACTCCAGGCCACAGTCACTAGAGTCTCCTCTGTAGTTTATTAAGTGTCCCTGTTCTCTCTCCAAGTCTGTTGCTTCACTCTGTCTTTCTCTGTCAGTTTGTTTTTCCCTCTTTCTAAATCACTGTCTCCAAGTTCTCCGAGTCATTTTTATATCCATCTCTCCCAAAGTCTCTTTGTCCCTTTCTTTACGTCCCTATATCTTTAGTCTCCCTCCCAGTCAATTCATTTCTCTCATAGTCTGCTCATTGTATCTCAGAGTCTATTATTCTGTACCTATAATAACAAATGTGTGCTAACACACACAGCTGCCTGAGATCTGACGTGATGTCTCTCAATGCAGAAGTATCAGATGTAGGACTACAATATGGTTTACATTTCTTCCTCAGTCACCAAATACTGCCAAAGTGTTCTTGAGCAAAGCACTTAAAAGTTGGGCTCCATTGGAGGGGCTCAGTCGCCCAACAGCAGCAAAGGATAATTGTTGTAGCCATCTTGTATGGAAAGAAAGAAGTTTATCTACCTGCTAGCGCCAACAGTAGTTCTCCTAAGCACTGTTGATACACATCCAGGGTCTCATGATCACCCAATCCATTCTCCTCCTATAGGTTGAAAATGAAGCAAAACATTGCTTTATACATGACTACAGAGACACAAGGGGCACGCTGGTGTTTACATAAGTCAGCTATTTCAGTCAGTTAGCATTGCAAAATCTAATTTAATGTTCACTTCTAAAAGACACATAAATAATAAAAGAGTTTGCACGACCAACAGTGTCAAAGTAGCAACACCGAAAAATAGATATTTTTGGTTTACCAATGATCTTAAAAGATGTGGTTTGGAAAGCAATATTTGTATCCTGCTGGTTTGTTTTTCTGCTGTATTACTGCCTGTGTGCATCTTTCTAGCCGTGGCATTGTACAGCAGTACCCCATTCTAACCTTAGCAATCGCAGTAGAGGCCATCTCCAAAGCAGCCAGCAGTCGTGGTTGGTCTCGAGACATTTCTGGAGTAGAAAGGGAACAGAAAACACCACTTTGAGCCCTACTGTCTATCAGTCTAAACTGATTAATTAACCATTAATTAATTCTACTACAAAATATGCATTATTTTGCAATTGGTATGTTTCCTACAGGAACTTAAGACTCCAACATTGTGGACTTACCTTAGATTTCATAATATTTATTTCAGGGAAACAGGGTAATAGAGCATAAGCGTTCTTGAGCAAAACACCAAATCCCTAAGTGACCTATAAATACCATTCTGTAGTCTGACCTTTGGCCTCTGAGGGAGGGAAAATATTTTCCTCACAGGATTCATTAAAGTAGTAGAAAAGATCAAACAGCATTGTTTTATCGCATACATCGTTTTAATGCAAATTTCCATGACTAAAATAGCACATTTGACAAAGATGTATGTACTAAAGAGGAATAATAATCAGGTGAAACACCTATTATTTGATTAAATCCGAGCACAAAAACACAGATCACATTACTGAAGTTGCCCTGTCACACAACTCCTGATTAGACAAGCCTAATGCAGACATACAGTGGTCCTGCCTCAGCACTGAGCAGTGTTCATTACCTCGGAGGACATCCCTGGAAGTGCGGGCCTCCTCAAAGCTCTGTCTGTTGTCTGAGGCCACCAAGGCTTTCAGCTCTTCGGCTCTAGACACATACTGGCGGACCTGCGGGAAGTCCTCTTACATTGACTCAACATAATCATGTCAACCACACCATATGGTATTCATAGAGCAGAACTCATTCCAAGTGAAAGTCAGTCACTGGAGTGTAAAAAAAAGCGTAGAAAGTAATCCAAATGTGAATGCGGGGAGTGTTTTCGGGCCTACCTTCTGCCTGAGGGCATCTTTACGTTGTCGGTCTGTCTCGTCTGGGGAGGGCGGAGTGAAGAGATGTTTTAGTTTTACATTTAGTGCGTTTTCTTTGTCAATTTATTGAGGTGGAACAAAGGCAATGCATTGTTGAAAGGGCTGAAGCCACAGACAGGATATGAGAGAGATTGTTGCTCTTACAGTGAATCGCAGGGACAAAGTGCTCAAGGGCACTGCAGTATAGACAGAGAGCAGCGGACCTCTCCCCCTCTTGGTCCTTCTGAACGGCCTGCAGGACCAGCTCTTTCTGAAAAGAGGAAATAGGAACTGGCATCACTGAACGCAAACTGCTACAACTATCCATTCTTTACGCATGCATGCAGAGTCATGTGAGGCAGGCATGAGCGCAAACCTACTAATACATGTTTACACATATAAACACACACAATTCATGGTCATCTAGTAGATACACACATTCCTTTCTCCTTATTTGCTCACCGCTTTCACTAAGCTGTCTACACTCGGCATGTGCTCCATATCCACGAAAGGGTGGGTGAAGAACTCTGCAAAGGTGATCCGGGCATCTGGATTTCTCTCTAGCAGCCGCAACAGAAGGTCCCTGCAGTCCTTGGATACCCTAGCCCCAGGAGGGAGCTGATGCACAAAACATGACCTTATTATGTTGCACTCAATCCACAGGACAATCCGAGGGAAAAGGACAGCAGATTGTTGCCAGAGACTTTCTAGTCTCACATAGCCACTTTTTATCAAAAGATGACCTTACAACACTTTATGTGAATGCCTGGCTAATGGGCCATATGCTAATGCAATCCATCTAGCACAAGCCTAATGTTTTACACAAGAATTCAAGTGTTTTGAAAGTCCTCCATCACTAAAAGCACTGTTATCCTTAACTGTTTCAATGGAAATTAACATTTGGTTTATGTGTGCAACGGGCAAGTCAGGACAGACACAATGACTTTTAATTGCCAACATCCGTTATAGTTTAATTTCAACATATTTAATCTATATCTAATTAGCATATAATCTATATTATAAACATTACATAGGCCTGTTTACAAACACATAAGAAATGGAATTTGTCCCAAACTGTTCCTTTCAATTAAGAAATTTAGGTAACTGTAGAGGAGCAATAAGTCCTTATTTCAACTGAGCACCTCCACTGCCAGTCTTCCTTGAGAGGGATACAAGTATAGTGTGAAAGGATGCCATCTAGTGGTTTAATTGTGAAAATTCACAAATACAGTGTGAGACACACACACACACACACACACACACACACACACACACACACACACACACAATATATAAGTATTGCAATTCCCTGGTAATGTGGCGGTGTATGTATATTTGGATGACTGAATAGATTTAGATTTGTGTGTTTTAAAACGGTTACACCCCAACATTCCGTGTTGGTTACCGAGACGACCACTGAATGAAATAAAGCCCTTTATAAATTGACATTTGGCAAATTCCCATCCAGCTATTTTCCTAAAAAGCAACTCATCTAAAAAATAAGCACTGCTGCCTTACTTCTGTTGTTCTAGACATAATACAGTTTTTGACATTTGGAGTATACTCAACATGTGCATCCATCAAGCAGTGAGCCATTCATTTTTTTCCAGCAGGACTGCTGACTGTCTCTGTCCAGCACACTGAGTGATCACTGACTCATTTGTTGCTCAACGCTTACCTCAATAGGCTGGTTACTCCGGATCTTCTCCTCCAATTCAGCGTATGACCTTGATGCAAATGGTGCTCGCCCAAACAGTGCCTCTACATGCACACAAACAATGTTGAGTAGACTATTCCAAAAAGATAGTCTGCAGTGAGTATTTATTACTGAAAACTGATGCACCTTCTGTGCATTAAGTTAGTTTCAGATAAATGTTATGTATGCTTTCTGATGCTTATACTGTATTTAAAAATTATCTTAGTTTAGCTACCCTTTATATATCTTTAACATTACACTTCATTTACACAAATGATGCTGGTCTTTAGTGAACCGTCTGTAAATTACATGCAACTGTATTTGGCTAACATGACTGAGTAGTGACAAGACCTCCTTATGTGTTGTACATTGTCACTCCACAACTGTACTCCACAAAAAAGGGGGCAAACCAGGCTCCCCTTTTATGATGCAGGGCCAGTCAACTGATCAGCCTTTTATTGTTGAAAAATATGTGATGTTTAGATGTTAGAAAATATTATTAACGGGGACTCACGCTACACAGCCTAAGACACAGTTACACCAGATTCTGCGCATGGGAATGCATTTTGCTCCCTTGAATATATAATGAAGCAGAATTACAATTAACAGCTTGCCCGAGACACATTCAAAAGAGATGAAAAGCTGGACACTAAGTACTCACCATAAAGAATGACTCCTACTGACCAGAGATCTACCCGGGCGTCATATTGGCGCCGGCACACCATCTCAGGAGCCATGTAAAGAGGGGAACCCCTCAGGACACTCTGCTCGTCCCATGGTGACATGTACTGGGCGAAACCAAAATCTGAGAGCAAATCAGAGTGTAAATAACATGTTCACTGTGAGAGATTCCAGCTGATACAATCCACCTAAAACAGCCTTACGAACTAATATGTTTATAATGCAAATTGTTTTTGTTTGATACCAACATGGTTGAAGGTCCCTTTGATATAATGTTACTACAACATGAACAATCAAATGTGGCATGTGCAGCAAGAAAATGTTAACTCTCTTGCTCTGCACACATAACTATAATATGACAATGATTCAGCTCTTTTAGTGTCTGGCACGTTGCTGAAATGATCACAATCACACACAAATCAATCAGTTCACTTATTAACCTGCTAGTTTGAGGACAGAGCCGCTGAGCAGAATATTCTGGGGCTTCAGGTCCAGGTGTGAGATATTTCGCTCATGAAGAAACTGGAGGGCACAGGCTGTTTGTGCAGACGCACATACAAATACACAATGAGAGAAACACATTGAAACTGAATTTCACATCATGCCATCACATCCTAAAGTTTGCACAAACTTGCACTTAATAAGAATATTTATCCTCATGCAATTTACATGTACGCGTGGCTGAAAATATGAGTCAAAACCCACTAGTTTTTTTAAAAAAGTTGCTGACATGGAAGCAGTATAAAAAAGGTATTTCCTATCTATTAATATCAAAATAAACAATAAGCGTGTCTTGCAAACAGATTGTAACACAATGTGGCAATGACTCACCGATCTGTTGCAGGAAGCGCCGGGCCACCCTCTCAGGTAAAATCCTGCGACTGCGAATGAAGCGGGAGAGGTCTCCACCTGAGCACCACTCCAGGATCAGATAAATATTCTCAGCATCCCACTGAAGAAAGACAAGAATACAGGGAAAGACTGAACGCTCTATTTAGGCCTATAGCTTTTTGATCTGTAGCCTCAATGAGCTTACCTGAAAGTCTTTCAGCTGGACTATATGAGGGTGACGCATAGTCTTGAGGATTTCAATCTCTGTGAGCAGGTTTTCTGTGGATGCCTTGTTTAGAGTCTTCTTTGCAACCACCTTCACTGCCACCACCTCTCGACTGTCCCCCTGCAACGTCACGGACAAGAACTAAAACTTCCACTTTCACTTTTAATGACAAAACTAGACTGAACTCATAAATGTGTGTCTTTCAATGGTGACTGCAATTATGTGTCCAATGTGGACTGTCTCAGAGAAAACCGGGAGTGTAGAAATCACATTTGATAACGGCTACTATATATATATATATATTATCACAGTAATTGAAATATCATAGTTTTCAGGCAAGGATGCAAAGCCAAGTACATGGAACATCACTGCTGAGTCAATCCTTGAGCTCAAACAGAAACATGAATGTTGTATCAATTTTTGGGTGATGTTTTCCCTGACTCCTCTACAAACTCACCTTTCTGTAGGCTTTGTAGACTGTTGCATAGGTACCACTGCCCAGTCGCTCTGTGAGGATGAAGTCAGTCAGTTTCGGCGGAGCAAAGCTGGAGGTTGAAGCCATGCTGATGACAGCAACATCAAATTTGCAAAGCAGGTCTTGGCTGGAATGTAAGATCAATAAGCTATTCATACCAAATTGCGATGGATGGTCTGATCTTCAAACTTCAACGGGGAGATGTCAAGATCGGTTGCAGAATAATAATACTATGATTGCACCATCATTTGATGGGGACACTAAGGACTCCGTGTGTTGCTCAAGGACAGTTGCATGGACCTTCTAGTCTACATCATTCCACTTTAAAACAATAAAGAAAACTTTATTTCACCACTGTGATGGTCAATCATGTAGAGATTACTGATGTGAGGAGGAGTGACAAGTTGATGATCGACTTAAGGGACGCCTCTTATTCTGATGTTTGAACACATTCAAACTTTACTGCCTTAACTTTGTTTAACGTTACTTTTGCTTAATCTAACGTTATTTATCCCCCATTACGTCATTCAGACAGGCTCGTTAAAAGTCTTAGACCGTATTCTGACATGAATTTGTCTTCCCGATAAGCAAGGAAACTGTAAACTATCTGTGACTGAACTAAATGTGGTGTACCTAGGTTTGGGAGCTAGCTAAGTTCTAGTTAGCTAACGTAGCATCTGCTGTGCTGCCAGTGTACAGTTAGCTGCTAGTATGTAGCTAACGTTATAAAACTAGCGCTATGCTACTAGCATAAATGTAACGTTAGTGTTGGTAAAGCGTTTGCCAAACATGAAACTGACGTAGTTAGACCTTTCCGCCTTCATTCAAAAGTTATGCAAATAGTTGGTACGTACCTTGAGACTAACAAATGCACAGTATATTAAAGACACGTCTGTTTACATTGCTGACACACCGCACGGTGCACTTGGGTGCACTGCAGCGACCAACTGACAGTAAAACGAAGTACAAAATACGTTACTGCCTCCTAGCGTTGGTACTTACTGCAAACTACTGGAAGAATTGACTAGAATCAAACGACGTACAAGCCGGAATCACTATTCAGTAGTTATATTTGAAAGATGTGATGTCATTAAAAAAATAAATCCCAAGAGCCTCAACCGCAGACATCAATTGTTATTACCTGTTTCATATTGTTATTGTTATATACTACTGTAATAATTTGTACTAAATTATATATTGTCTGATAGCTAATTTACTCCACTTTAGCTTTTGTCTGATTTTGAAACTCATAACAATATAATAGCAATATAGCAATAGCAATATAATTATTCAAATTTGAGTTTTTAAAATGTTGAACAGCGTATTGATATAATTTCATGTTCAACTCATAAACTGTATAAAAAAGGTAAATTACTGTATGGGGATTCTTGTTCTGGGTGCTTGCTTGTGGGTAGTTTTATTTTCAAAAACCTCCACCGGAAGTCATCTTTCATGCGCGTTTGTATGGTGGGTTTTTAAAGATGGCGGAGTGCCTGGCTGCACGCTTGGCTTCTCAGGAGGAGCAAATTCGGCTCCTCACCAATGAAATCTCCATTCTCCGGGATGGATTAAGCCGAGGTCTGGATGCTGCCGGTGGTGCGAGGGTCTCACCAGAGCTGGAGAGCCTGCGGACCGAGAATGAGAAGCTCCGGTACCGGCTTGTGCACCTCCGGCGGGGTCTGCGGGCGGAGCTGGCGTTGGAGGAGGCGCAGGGCAAGAGACAACCAGGAGTGAAGTGTGGCAAAGCGCCGGAGAAAAACACCAGCAAAGAGCCGCAGACAAACAACCAAAGTGATAATAAGGTTGTAATAAAGACTGGGACAGTCAGTGTTAATCAGTTTAAATAGTTTCGTTTGTAATATGACGAGGAGCTGAGTAGTAGTCTTGTTAAGAGTAGTGGGCCTCCAGTGAAGCCAAATGACAAACTCTACCACCTCATTTCCAGAAATAGCTGCCACACTCTGTGTCACAGTGTGTGCACGCTTTGAATACTGAACATGTTCACTGACATTAGTAATAGGCTGATAACGTGACTCAGAAGTACTGGAAAAAGTGATAAGAGCCTATTGGAAGACAAAAGACTCACACACCCCTCTGTTTCTGTTTCTGGACAGGTGGCAACATCTGACACCAAACCAGGTGACAGGAACAAGAAGGATAAGAAGCAGGAGAAGGGACAAGCAGGTGGATGTGTGAAAGAGGTGATTAATAATATAAAAAAGCACAGGACACTGAAGTTATTGTTCTCCCCTGGTCACCCAGTGTACCAACAGGGACATATAACTAACTAACTTTTATGTTATAAATAAGTTTTTTCACAAACAACAAAATTTTTTTTCGCTATAGTCACTGCTTTAACAAAAGTTGAGATGTGAAATATTAATACTTGGATTGTTGGCATGATAAAACAACATGCAAAGCTCTGGACATACCAGAATTTTCCTAAAAGAATTTCCCAAAGCTTGTGTTTTTATATATATATAAATAAAATAATTATTTATTTATTTATTTATAATTTGCTGTAGCTGAAGCCCTGGCCTGGATACATCGCAGAGCGCCTCCGCCTCTACGAGGTGCTGAAGAAGGAGAGTGATGCCCTGCTGGCAAAGAAAGCTGCAGACAGCAAGCCCATTACTGTGGAGCTGCCGGACGGACGTAAGGTGACGGGCAAGGCTTGGCTCACCACGCCATACCAGTTGGCTTGTGACATCAGGTTAGTACTTAAATAGCTGGCCGGAACCACTACTGTTCAGTCTACAATTGTACATTCAATTGATTGCTGCCAATATGATCAGTATATTGAATTACCGGTACGTACCTACAAAATACTTCCAATATGAGCGCATCTCATTGTAATAACATAAATCACTCTGTTAAATTTGGAGACCGCTTTTCTGAGGCAACCATGTTGCACTTTTCTTTTCTTTCAGCCAGGGCCTGGCTGACAACGCTGTGATTTCTCGGGTGAATGGGGAGCTTTGGGACCTGGACAGACCTCTCGAGCAGGACTGCTCTCTTGAGATCTTGCGCTTTGACAATGAGGATGCTCAGGCTGTGAGTACTTACTACTTACTTAATAAAAAATAAAATACCACCTCAGTCTGAGGTACTAAAAAGGTTCAAGCCACAGCGTCCAAACAACATACCTGCTTTAATTTGACTGAACTGTTTTTACTTTTTTAAAGAGGTTATTTTTCCTCCTCATGTCCTAGGTATATTGGCATTCAAGTGCTCACATTCTTGGGGAGGCAATGGAGCACTTTTATGGAGGCTGTTTGTGTTATGGACCCCCCATTGAGAATGGTTTCTACTATGACATGTTCCTGGATGGACAGAAGTAAGCAATTTTTTCTGTCTTCTCTGCTCTGGACAGCTTTTCTTATCCATGTGGATTTTTCTGAAATATCATACTTTTCAGACATGATTTCTTGTTAAAAAAAAAAAAAAAAAAAAGTGTATATTTACCAGTGTTAATCATGTATTTAATTGCTTTTATAAAAACACATTATTGATTTGTTTGCTTTCTTGGGGCAAAATGAGTGCCTACAGCAGAAAGGAAGAGAATCATCATGTCAAAAACAATTGGGTCATTACAGAAACATCATGATACTTGTCAGAGCAGCACTGACCATGCGTGCTAACGATATTGAACTGAACATGTTTCCTTTTCCAGGGGAGTGTCCAGTGCTGAGTTTGGGGACCTGGAGACTTTGTGTAAGGCTGTGGTGAAGGAAAAACAGCCATTTGAGAGGCTTGAGATCAGCAAGGAGACACTGTTGAAGATGTTTAAGGTGAGTGAGAGCTGGCATCTGCTGTCAGCCTGAGATACCCTGCTTGTGTGGAAGAATAAATTATGACATTTTTTAAATGTTCACATATGTGTGAGGAGCTTTTGTCCTGCACTACTACTGTTTCACAAACTCTTTTCACTAATGAGAAAACAGACATAGCCTGGTTGCTACATTTGTGCCTAGTCGTATTGTTATTTGCATGCATGGGGGGAAAAACACAGTGAAATCTTTAAATCGCGATAAACGTGTGTATGCAAAATGTTCCTTCTGCCCAAATTGACTTGTGTTTGTATCTTTTTCAGTACAACAAATTCAAGTGCCGCATTCTGAATGAGAAAGTCACTACCCCCACTACTACAGTCTATAGGTAAGTTGCTTAAAAGAAAGAATATTAATTATAGCTTTTATTTTAAGAGGATGGGTTAGTTCTTTTTGGGTCTTAGTACTTTGTAAGCTAACTGTTTTGTATTTTTTTAAAACCTGGTTAGATGTGGGCCCTTGATTGACCTGTGCAGAGGTCCCCATGTCAGACATACAGGCAAGATCAAAGCTATGAAGATCTACAAGGTATGTGGGAAAACACACAGAGTCTATTGTTTTTTTTTAATGTCCAAAATCCATTTAACCTGTTCTCCGATAACAATAGTTTTAATTAGACCTTTTTGTTATAAAAATATTTATGAATGTTTTCTAGAAAGGTAATCTTGTATTAATGAGTAAAAATCTTCACTCTTTTCCACCTCTGTCATCAGAACTCTTCAACCTACTGGGAGGGACGCTCCGACATGGAGACTCTGCAGAGGATCTATGGGATTTCCTTCCCAGACTCAAAGATGCTGAAGGAGTGGGAACGTTTTCAGGAGGAGGCCAAGAATAGAGACCATCGCAAGATTGGCAAAGTGAGTCACTGTAGGCAGTCATGTTCAAGCCCACCCAGCTGGCTGAGGCCTAGAGCTGGAATCTGAAACCCAGTACAAAGTGAATTTTGGTTATTGTGTAACATGATGGCTGACACATCTCCTTTTGAGGTTTTTGAAGGAGTTTTCCCTCGTGAGAGTCTCTAGGTTTGTGGGGTTTTTTAGATGTGGCGAAACCCTAAAATGAACCTGGACCAAGAACAACGTGTCCGCTCAAACATGAACTATAAAAACACATGCAAAAATATACAGAATACAACAGTACGTAGAGGTTAAGTAAAGTAAAATATTTCTAGTGTTACCCAGTTGGCATTATCAAAAATGCTTCAGTGCAAAACTAGTGCTCAATATTCAGGACCAACATGGACACGAAAAAAACATTTTTTACTTTATATTGTGTGTTGCTGCTTTCTACCAGAGAGGGCACTGTGTTTCTTCATATTGCACGCTCACAACAGAGTCATCTGAGCACCCCAGCTGGTTTCCCAGCATGGGAGACCCAGACGGCAGCACCTCAATCAGCAGTGATAACAACACAATTCCATATTAAATGAGAGTCAAGCTTTTGCTGTTGAAGCCAGTTAGAGGGAGGTGACAAAAGTGGCATGTTGTTTTAAAGATGGTGCTCTGTGGCATGATCCCAAGCCGACCCTCATCATTTGCACAGGGCGTCGGGAAAATATAACACTTTGAAAATCTCTAGTCCTGTTATGTCGATAATAAAAATGATCTTTAGAGGGGTGTTTTTATAACCTGGTGTAATGTTAGTAATTAATGCTAAAAATTCTGTTTCACAGAGGGTATTTTAATAAGTCGGACCTAAGTTGCCATGGGAACCTATCCTTACAGACTAGCCTGGTCCTGTTCAGGTCTGTTTTGGTGCTTAGCGTCATCTAAGGTTTAACCACTGTTACAATTAAATCTGTCAGACAAAAACACACTGTTCCTTCCTGAAGTTTCCTCTTTACTCCTGCACCGTAATCATCATGTCATTCATGTCAAATTGATCACATTTTGACAAAAGCTGCACGTTCCTAAAATGTGAGCTCATATCTTTTATGAGTCTTAAATAAAATGAAAAGGGACAGACACCCAGAAATCCATTTGTTAAACAAACAAAAGACCAGGCAGCCAATCTGAACATATTCCCCCCATATACAGGCTGTTATGTTACTTTTCCAAACCAAGTAACACTGTGTACTTCGGTTTCTAGAAAATACTAATAATCTTATTTGCTTGCAAAAAGTTTAAAGGCGTGTTTCTATTTTATACATATTCATGTAAGCATTCACATTCAGT